AGACTGTATAGGACCAATACAATATGGAGACTAAATTACTGAGTTGTAATTAAAAACTGATCGAACAAAAAAACAGTGCAGTGATTTAAGAGCCAGCGAATTGTCAAAATTAATACATCTCCGATTTATAAAGACATATATTTTAATTTTAGGTAAATATCTTTGTATATACATTGCAATATAAGCAAAAGTTTGACTATGTATTTTTGATAATATTTAATAAGAGTAAGACGAATTGTATCATAATAAATTATAAATTATAAATGTCAAAATGTCAAAAGTCTATAAATAGAAAAAAGTAGTCAAAATATTTTGGAAATTGTATAATGCATGAAACTGTTGGTATAAACATATATTTGATAAAAAAAATTCAAGTCTGCAATTTTTCATTTTTCAATTTCAACTAAAATTAAAACAGATGTTGTTGAAAATTGGTTTGCGTAAGAAGTCCTGTTTTTTTGTTTTTCTTGATTATTTTGAAAAGTAGGGAATTTTTACATTTTACCCCTGCAGAGTACCAATTAAATCTAATTTTCTTCCATAAACTGCCTTCAATATTATTTTATGATTGAAACTTTTTGAAATATATTCAGTATTTTCACTGCTCCAAGAGGTGATGACAAATACCAAAAAAAAAAAGACAGCTGCACATCATTGTAAAGCCAATACATTTATCGCTCAGCTTAAGATCTAAAAGATCGATGATTAAAATAATACCTGTCAAATAAGATACAAATTAATGGAAAAACGTAATGTCAACGACGACAGGTCGGCTGATTTTTTTTGGTTCTTAAAGAAATTAATTATTTATTGAATCTAAAACACGAAATGTATATTACCGTAATGAATATCCAACAACGGTTGTTCAATTCGTGAACAAACATAATTAAAAAACCATCGATTTGAAACACGGCTATTACACACGCATATTTGAAGCTATATATTATTAATATTGTGGTTACATAATTTTATCATATTAATAATATTCCGGTTTTTGAAAATGATAATATTTAAAACCTAGCGACAGTTTTTAATCAATCATACTACGCGTACATGAACACGTACGAGCGTTTAATAAGAGAGAAAAACGAAATTAATTTTCAACCATAAAACAAATAAAAACAACCGCGAAGAAAAAGCAGATTACGTGACCAAATTGTAATAAAAGGTTTTTGTATAACACTATAACGTCTTCTTAGATGGCCAATTACAATTGGACAATAATGCCACATGCGTATGGATATATATAATACAGTTATATTATTTTCAGCATCCTTAACTATTATTTTAAGCTATTATTTTCCTTCGCACATTTCCCGCCGTGTGAGATCAATTTTCCATTACAGCGGTGCAGTATTCAGCTATATACAAATTGAGTTCATCCCCCTCAGAAATCCGTGTCATTTTATCCTGATTCGACGGGATCCGCATTGATGTAATATACGGCATATCATATAAGATTTCGAATTCATTAGGACGCCCAAGTATACATAGTAGGTAGGTACCTAAATATATATATGGTGTTTAATATATTATCTTAATATCATCATACACGAACATGTATTTTTACGAGAAATTTGAACACACGCCAGAGAACCCCGTATAAACTGTACATACATATTATATATACAATAGGTTTACTCGGCACGTTTGTCTTCGTGCGCATATAATATCATATTATAATACTCTCGTCAGTCCAAAACTGTTGTATACTTACAACAGGTACCTACGTACCTATAAACGTAGGTACTATCCTCTTCTACTTGTACAATCCTAACGTGGGGGCTGACCTTTAATAGTCATACACAAATTCAACATGAACATATCTATAGTATTTACATCACCGATTAAAATATACTTTAAATAACGCTTTACTCGAATTGGGTGCTAATAATATTAGCAACGAAAAAACCACAATTTCCATTTCTTACATCGAGTTGAACCGTAAAAAAGTGATCGAAATCGGAATACGCGTAGGCGTGTGAGGCTCGTTATTGAAGTAGGTACTGAGGTAATATAATATTCGAAATCCAATTTTCCAACAAAGTCTCTAAATTTGTATTATATTGTCTTTTGAACGGAAGTCGTGGGCGGGGCATGAGGGATCATGGACACATCCTGTATACAGCAACCACACTCTACTCTCATATCGAAAATCATACATAATAGTAATAATAATATAATATCGCGACGCTCTTATATATTGAGGCGTGCACGCGTGTTCAAAAACACCGAGGAGCACGTAAAATATTGCAGAATAATAATATTGCCGATATAGCTAATGAGTGTATTATAATACGTAATATAATATACCTACGCGATGCGAGACGTCATGTAAATTTTGAGCTGCAAAAGTTTTGATAACTCCGTCACAGATATGAGACATTCATATAATATTTTATATACAGTGGGGGGAGATTAACCAACCACGCGAACCTCCATTTTCCTTAAATGATGAATTTATAAAAATTCTGATTTTTTAATTTTTAATTACATTTATACTCAAAGACAATATTTCAAATTCTTGAAACTGTTTGTACTACTTAGGGGGTGTCCTGTGGCGATACAAATTTTTGTTTTTCAAATGAGATCAAATGAGATTTCTCCTTTTTACTGTCAATTATTTAGTGGATATTAATTTTTTTAATTTTGATGTACCTACCTATAGTTCAAACCGAGTAGTTTCTTAGTTACTAAAATGTTTGTACTAAGGAAAATATATGACAGATTTATATAAATGACTAAAATTATGAAAGCACCATAGCCCCCTCCCCCATATTTCATAAAACCATTGCCAATTACCATGTACCTTTTATCCTTAGAGCACAAAGTTAAATAGCTCCAGAACTACTCGTCCAAATATTGTCCACTGAATAATTTATAATTGAAAAGAGGGGTTCTCATTTGAAAACCAGAAGTTTGTATCTCCACAGAACGCTCCTTAAGTAGTACAAAAAAATCCCAAAGATCAGATTTCGAATAATTGCATTATTGAAGAATGAAAAGGGGGTGAGTATGCCTTGGTGAATCACTCTGTATATATATATGTAAAATGATAAATATAATTCAATTTTCTTGAAAAAAACGCAATCGTAACGACTCATATACGCTAAAAAGAACTCACCGATATGTATATTTATTGTGTGTGTATGTGTGTGTGCACTCGTTTGTATAATATTGTGTGTGCCGAGAACTGAACTGCATTGTAGCGCATTATGATAAAACTGCTACGATATTGTATATGTTGTACACTGCACGCGTTATGCGATCGATAACATTGCGGGCTTAAAAAAAAAACTAAATTAGGATTAACAGAGAAATGCAATACGCGTAGTCAAGTGTAGCTGTAACGACGACGATCGTTTAAGGAGTGTCATTGCGTCGCCATTCTTCCCCGATTTATTAGTATGTGATATTAATAATACTACAAGTTATAACGTACAACCATTCGCCACCGATGATCAAAAGATATTGGTTTTATCATAATATTTAAGTACCTATATTCAAGTCCACACTGACGACTTGAATAAAACCTCGAGTAATACACTACCACCTATGTTCTAACCTATGTTCCCATATACCTAACTATTTCTCATCAAACGATATAAGTTTTTTGTTGGAACTTAAATACCTAGTTTTAATTGTAGAAACTTAAAACTTTCCTCTGTTATTTAAATTATAATTTTTAAACTCATATGCTATAATATATAATATATAAATATAATATAGTAGGTATTTCCGTGTCAGCTAGTAAAATATAAATAGGTACAATACAGACATTGTGTTTTTGGCAAAAGTTATAGTCAATCTACCGAATAGTCTATCTACCTAATCTTTCTACCGATCTATATTCTACCTCTACCTAATCTACCGTCTACCGATCTACCTAATAGTATAAAACAGAGACCCGTGTATAGCTTTTCTGGAACCTAAGTTTAGTGAACTTAAGGGACGGCCAATGAAAAAATCTAATTTCCCGGAGGGTGGTCTCCCGGCGGCGGCAGAGCACCAATCTTCAAAATTCGAGTTTTACCAAACTACGGGCCTCGGCCTACCCCATTCGCCCCTTATTTTCGTTCCCCGCTAAATGTATGGGCCATGAGAGGCCGTACTTCCTTCGTGACGAGTATCGTGAATAGAGCCACCGTAGCGTCGTTTTTACTATGATATAAAGGCTTGAATATATGCTCGAAAAGTTCTAATTTTTCGCGTATTGGCGTTTTCGACGTCCGACGGCAGCGGAGTACGTTGTCCGCTATCCGACGTGGTCTACTTTGCCTTGCATGATGCATCAACATCTGATCCCTAGTAATAACAATAGTAGATTCTATTTGGCAGAGAATCAGAAGAAGTATCTGATATAGAATCTTCAATAATAATGCCTTGTGGCTGTAGGTTTCATTTCTTATAATATAAACTAGTAAAGTTGTTATTTTAAATTCATCATCTAATATTCTAATTTAACCATTTGTTCAAAAATCAATTTACTTATTGAAAAAAGTGATAACAACTAGTACATTATATTATATTATGATTTGTTGGTAATTTAATGGAAGGTGGAACCAATGTTTATATTTTTTTATACAACTATACTGTATATACTTTAGACTTAGGTTACTATTTATGAAAAAATATTTTTTTTTAAAGATGTGTATTGTATTGGTATCAATATACCTAATATGTTAAATACATTTTTCTTTGTTAACAGATCTAAAAAGTGTCAATGTGTTTGAACAGTTATGTCAAACATGAAAATATTTCAGATTATCAATAAGTTTAATCAGATTATCAGAAAAAAAATAAGTCGCAATGCTCAACAATGTGTCAACGATAAAATAAGTTCCATTCCATTGGTTATTATAACAGGCTGTGACACAGGTCTTGGATATTCAATTGTTATGAGATATTTAAAAGGCGAACATTTGAATACAAATAAAAATAACAGTAAAATATATAATATGCTATTTTCCAATAACAAAACACTATTAGTCCCAAATAAGATGGCGATAATTGCATTTTGTTTGAATCCTAATAGCCCAGGTGCTAAACGCTTAGTTCAACTTTCACTTGAAAATAATGATCTTCAATTATTTGTTAGGCAATTAAATTTAACTGATAATGATTCTATTAAGACTGGTGTCACTTTTGTTACTGATCTACTTCAACAAAATGTTGATATAATTGACCAACACAATGAAACAGTTGTTTTAAATTATGGTATATGCAAAATATAAAAAGTTAAATAAACTAATTTAATAATCAAATCATTTTTAGAACTACATGCATTGGTCAACAACGCAGCACGAATGGTGATGGCGGAATATGAATGGAAAACTTCAAAAATGATAAAAGAGCAATTTGAAGTTAATATTTTAGGTCCAATTAAGTTAACTGCTATGTTATTGCCTACATTTCGCAAAGATAAAAGTAAAAATGTCTAAATAATTAATAATGTTATGATTTTAATGTATATTTTTTTATTCTATACTTGTTTCAATTAACACGTTGATGGACATGACTGCTAATGCAGTTAATGCAAATTACTGTAATTTGGTAGTCACTCTGATTGGGCATAATCCATAGATTTTTATAAATTTTTTAGAATATTTGATTTTTTTTTGCCTGAATTGTTAGTAAGTCACAATAGGACACTAGATAATTTTCAATGTTATGAAGCCATAATAAATGCTACTGTTCTAGCAGTCATGTCATTTTTACAACTTTTAATATACAACTGCTATACCAGCCATGGTCATATTATGACTTACATTAGTATGACTGCTATCGCAGTCATGTCATTTTTACAACTTTTAATATATAACTGCTATACCAGCCTTGGTCGTATTATGACTTAAATTAGTATGGCTACTATATCAGTTACTGTCAGTCAATGTATTAAATATCAACATTTTAGTATAAACATGAATAAATTTAACTACAGGTCAATGATATTAGTCATTGTGCATATCTCCCACTTCCCGGAGTATCTATTTATGGTGCTACAAAAGCAGTCGTGAGTGCATGGACACTTGGAACCAGAGTTGAACTTGATATTCATGGCATAAAAATGATTACATTTTCACCAGGTAACAGAACAATAATACATGATGAAATAAACAAAAGTTAATGCAATAATTGTTTTATTTAAGGATCGTTTTATCTTCATTCCTCCATTATGAATGGCGAACAAAGAAATATTTATTATAAAAAAATGTGCAATAATATGAATAAGGAGCAATTAGATTATTTTGGTGCTTTTATGTATGCCTATCAAAATTACTTGTGTAATATTGATGTACATATTAGTCCTCCAGAAACAACCATTCCAAGCACTAATAAAATATACTGTCAAATGGATAATGCACTATGGGCAGTCCAACCCAAAGCTGAGTATAATGTACCTGAACCTTGGCGATATAGAATCTATTTTTCTGTAGCTTGGACTCTGTCATCATTAGGCTTACATAATTTTAGAGATAAGGTTGTACGTCAATTTGTGGCTATACACCACAGTTTAATAATAATATTTCAAGTCAAGTTGAAAATGCCCAATAAACAGGATTTTGAACAAATAAACCCATATTATAATAAATGTTATATAAGTCCTAAACCCTACTGACTACTAATAAATATAATTATAGTATATTTCGAATAGTAAAATAACTTATTAATTATAATTGTTATGTCATGTCTAAATTTTAAACACTAATTATTTATTAATATATTTTTAGTTATAAAACTAAATGTTTATTTTCTTATGAATATTGTGGAAAGTTTTAAGACATTGGAACCAACAATATTTAGGTATACAAAATCTCAGGATTTAAATAGTGCTAGTTATAGTTTGATAGACGCTTTTATAAATTTGTTCGTCTAGCAATATTTAACAAATTGTTTATTAATTATCTAAGTAGGTACCCATGTGATAAAAAGTATAAAAGTTTATTTGTTATAGTCTATTGAATATTTTCTCAATTAACTAAGTACCTATGTTTTTAGTATAAAACTATAAAAGTTTATGTGTTAGCAATTCATATTTTCTTAAATACCTAACAGTGGTTTTAGTATGTATGTATATACCACTTTCTTTAAATATACCTAGTTTGATAATTTGCAAAATAAATTATATTATATTATCGAATTTTGATTTTGGGTTTACACTATTTTTTTCCAATAATGAATAATGAAAACTATGATCTAAAAGCATAAAATAATCTACAGAACACCTTTATTATAAATAGATAATGGTTTTTTTTTTTTAATAATTTTTTTTTTTTTTATTATTATTTTAAACTAAGACATTCCTAGCCTAAGGCTATCTATGTCTAGGGATATTTGACAATATACTTATGTTTTAACAGGTATAACATGATGATTAAATATTTATAAGTACTAAGGATAATTTACAATTGGTGATTGCAAGATATTTACAGATGTTACAATGTGATTACAATAATATTATTCTAGTATTTACATATTTACAATAATTTAATAACTATAAGTAGCAGAGAGGTCGTAGAGTTATCTGGAGGAAGCGCGTGTGTAGAGTGGAGATCTGGATGTTGAGAAGTGGCTTAGTGTAGGAGGTCGTTTTAATAATTAATCTAGTTTTATCTGGTTATTTTCATATAATACTATCTCGTCATTGTTGAAGTTACTGTAATGACTAATGAGTGATGAGTCGTATAATCACAGAACAATTAGGTAGGTACTAAGGTACACTAGGCGTGTAGCTTAAAAACCAGTCAAAAGCATTTTTTTTTTTAAACTGGTTTTTTCGTATTTTCTAAATGTCACACTGTATTAAAATTTAAAAGTGCTGTAAAAATATTGAACATTAAATAAGGTTATAACTGGTCTAAACTGACCATGGACAATTTTGGTTGATTTCAAAATCACCCATCTGACGATTTTAATTTCAAACCCAGCCATATCGCAAACAAAACCAGCTTTATCGAAACTAGAAATGCTAATAACTCTTGTAATAATATTTTATAAAACACCTATTCATACACAATATGTATATTGTATGCATTCCAAACCTATGAGTTCATACTTGTAACAAAATGGTAGAGTAAAACTGTAAAAGTCTTATTCGTTTTTTGTTGTTCCTGAACATTTTCAAAAATTGGTCACTCCTCCTATGTAGGCACTATATTATATCGCGTTGCGGTTTTCCATTAACTATAAATGACAGTGACTACACGAGATATTACAATATTATTATTATTATTATTATATTACTATATGCTCGGCGCAAAAAATACGGGAATGAACATAAATAAACAAATACAGAGCAGAGCATAACCCTCGGCGAGTGGAGTGTGGGCGAGAGGGTTAATTAAATGAATATGTTTCGACAATATACGTCTATAAGTACACACACACACACACACACACACACACACACACAATATAGTGTATACGTCCAGGCAGTTGTTTAATCCCGAGCACGCCGCATAAAATGTTTAACTCACGTACGCCAGGACCTTTCCGACGGTCGCCAGTAGTACGGTATTGAAATTTACTATTATTATTATTATTATTATAATAATGTAGGCTTGAATAATAATTAATGGACGTTTTGATATCCCACCGATATGATAGTAATAATAATACGTTCATCCTCGCAAACAATATTATCATGTATATGTATATAAAATATATATTATGTATAGTATGTAGTATGTACGCACTGCAAAAATAACGACACGGACGATTTATATATTCCGCGCACGTATCGTACAGTGTTTTTCGTTTGCGTCACTGAAAATATCTCGTCAAATAATATAAATAAGTCGGTCCATAATAATATATTCTATATAGTTCGTAATTCGTATATTATTATTATTATTATACACCGCGCGTATTATTATTAGTAGTATTAGTGGCGGCGCCGTGGCCGACGTTTTAAATTTTCGTCCCTATATTATAACGTTATCAATGATGACTGGGATTATGATCAAAATATATTATTACTCGAGTGCTATTATTATATATTTTCTAACCGTCTGCATATTAATATCGTACAATTCTATATGATTTAAATAGTAATATGTTATTGTATAATATTATTTATAACAGTCACTTCATCATCGTGAAACATATATAGGTATAGCTATGTAATAATTTATAATATACAGGAACACACGACAATAATCATCTGGCGGGCATCAAGTCGGTCGGATATATGAAAGTACGGGTATATAGTATTTTAATTACAATAAGGCCATTTTTAAATATTAATTCCGAATTCGTCGATACGTGTAGCCACTATATTTATAAGATTATACGGTGTACTTAGGATATGGTAATAATTTCCATAATCACATTTCAACGATATTATATTTTATATGATGATAAAAAAATCATGGATGGGCCAAAAAATTCTCGTGGAGTCACCCTGTATAGAATTATATGCGCTCGGTAGGGACCAGATATTCCCATTAGAGACAAAGTTTGTGTACTATATTGGCTTACGATGTATATATGCGGTTCAGGGACTTTATCATTCCTGAAATACACCTAAATACATCCAACTGGCTACGACTACGACGGCGATGGTAATTTACGATTCGATTACATTGGAAGAAACACGCAGTTTTGGAGGGACGCCGTTAAATCACCGCGAAAGGAGGCTAATAATGTAGAGGAGCTGCACGGAAACTGTGCAGTCATATTATTATTATATATATATATATATCATATAAAAGGTCTAAACGTCTGTACACTACCCCTAATCTAAGGGGACGATCGTCACGAATCACGAAATCGCGACGTGTCTGATTTTTAGGACCAAAAGCAACTACACTGCGCACTACCCGGCGCCCGGCGGGCAGTCTGGCGGATACATCTTAATATATTTTATTTTTTTGTTTTCATTTGCTTTCGTTTTATATATATAACGGGTGAAGAATAGCACAATAAGTTTACATTACATAAAATAAAGCAACCAATCATTTAAAATATAGAGAACTAAAATAAAACATTTAACATACCTATCGACAACTTTAAACATTAAAACACACAAAAATAGGTGGTGTAGTGCTCGTTATAGTCATCACCCAGACGGCCCAGACGCACATGTACATTATATTATAATAAAATATGTTTGTAATATAATTTTATTATTACTTTTACAACATTATAAATAATTGTGTAACATTGCAGCAGTTTAGGTGTTCTTATAAAATATCTTAAATGCCCGGAGCCCATCTAACCTAACCGAAGCGACTTGTGGACGAACTTTAACTGGCCCGCAGACAGTAAATTGGTTTATTAAAAGAGGTTTTCATCAATAATTTAATTTTTCCTTTACTTTCTTTTGATAAAAATAAATTATAACAGTACATAAATGAGGCCAGTCGAAAGCTTCCTAAATTCCTAAAGTGGCTATCTAAAAATATTTACTGGTGATCCCGGGTACACGCGATACGATGCAGCAGTGTCACATTAACAAATCTTACGCCCAAGGCAAAAAGGATATTGAATTAATATAATTGCAATGAATACTTTCACCAGCGCCCACGGCTGTACGATGATGATTGATCTGATATTAAAGCTTCAGAGTAGGAAATATGAAATATAAACGAAGACACCGTATTTTTTCTTTTTATATATTATTATGTGTTCAGCACAAACCGTTCCAATAAAAAAAAAAAAAAAAAAAATAGGTTTTAAAATTACTTTACTTTTAATTTAATAAAAACACAATAGTAAATTATTTTCTCCAGCTCATCCGTTGCAAAAGAATATTATTAAATTATTGTAATTTTTTTCTATACCACAACGGTACAATTTATCACGCGAAACGGCGACGACCACGACGTAGCTTTATCCAAACGCATACACGGTTTGCGGACGAAATATTATGGTTGCACGATATTTCGTTTCATAATCAGTAATAATAATCATTTATAGTACCGTTGTGCCAGTATTATACTACGAAATCATAAATTCGTGAGAACACATTTTTATCGACAAATAAGCAGTAATCAACACAACAAAACATGTCGTCTATACAATATAGTGTAGGTGTCTATACATTATTTTAATCGATTTTTTTTAATTTTATACAACTTATACAAGCCGTTGTTGAACGCAATAGTTTTAAAAAAATAATTTTTTTTTCAATTTTCTAACTTGAGTGTATAGGTAAATAATGACCTTAAAATATAAAAGCATAACTGACGTAAATCATAATAAATGCGTTACTTTTGAACATTGCTGTTATTACAACTTTATGTCAAAAGAAGAAAACCTCCAGAAATTATAATAACCACAAACAAAAGTTTATTATATTATACTTTCATAAGACACCATACCAGATAAATAAAACTTATAATTGACTTTCGATTACCCATTCAAATGTGATGAAAAGAGGACACACAACCTGGATTTAAAGAAAACATAATATATACTATATACAATATACATAATATTATTAGGTATATCATGATATATTATAGTATAATTAAAATTTAAAATCATAATTCTGTTGTCTGGGACATTATAATAGTATTGGTAGTATGAACATGTTTTATTATTATTATAGTAAATTGAACAATAGTGTCGTGTACAACTCTGATAATGAATTAATGATTGATTATGTATTGTAAA